TATTTTTTTTTTTCCCCCAGTTTTAAATTGTTATCTTGAAAATGCACAATAGCAAATTTTCCCAAACTTTAGCCAATCGGGATCAGCCCTCCCAGATAATGTAAATACAATTAGTTGATTTAAAGCACATTTCATGTTCTGCTTATCTGCTAAGTGTTTCAGTTATGGCGTTCATACAGAATGAGTCACTCATACATATTCCTCAAGGAAGAGCCAAAAGATGGAAGGAAAATACAGCCTGAGGAAAAAGTCTATAAAGATTTCTCGCTTTTCTAATCCCTTCTCTCTAATGTTTCTTTGTAAATTTGTCAGATGGGAATGAAATTGCCTCATAACTCTCCAGATGTGAAGAGCATCACTGCACAAAATTACGTACTTGTCAAAGCAAGGGGGAATTTATGTTGGTGTTCCTGAGATGTGATTTTATTCAGTCTATTTCCTTTGTGCACATCACAGCAACTAGAAAGACAAAAACAGCTAGTTTATGTATATCTTCTTTTTTGCCCCCCCCCCCTTTTTTTTTTTCACCTCTGGTGAATTTTTTAGCTTCTCTTTTTCCCTTTTGTTTTCTTATCCCCCTTCCCTCCCTCCTTTTATCTACTGCTTATTGCTAGTGACAGTAAACTTCATCCAACAACACTCTGATGAGAACAGCTATGATTCTACCAGCACCAGGCAGTTCAGACAAGTGCTACAGTAATTTTCCCTGTGGAGCAGGGAGAAAGGTGTGGCTTCTCTCCTGGTTATGGAAAATGTTTGTTTAGAAACCTGCAGCGTTTCTTACAGGCAACCAAATCGGGATTTCATTTGATATTTTGCTTTATATTCCAGTGTTTTAATTTAAACTCAGTGCGTTTTCCCTCTAAGGCTCCTGCAGTCAAATATCGTGGTCAAACTCACCAAAAACTTCTTCCAGTGCTACCCAAGTCCAGTTTTTTTTGTGCTGTTTTTAATGATATTGTTTTGTGCAGTGTTTCTTTCTTTAGTTTAAAGCTCAGGTGTTAAATGAAGTCTAAAACATAGGGTGCATAAACCACCCTGAATCCCAGCTCCTGCTGGCCATGACCTTCTTGAAACATTTAAAAAATTTCAGCTCTTTAATCCTCCTATTTGTGTTTCTCCAAGACACACACGATGGTTTTAAAACCAATATTAATGGGGAAAAGAACAATGAGCCAAGTAAATGAGATCTTCAAGGCATTATTCACGATGGATCTCTAAACCTCTCTAAAAACTGGGATGACTCCTCTCACCTAACAGGGATTTTAGGAGCAGGATGGGAAGAGATGCAGACCCATCAGTGCTCCATTATCCCTGTCCTGGCATGGCCCAGTTATGAAAATCAAATGTCTCCTCTTCTTCTTTTTCATTCTTCTCTCTTCTTTGTTTTCCTCCCCTCTCTGATGTTTCCTTTGGAAACTGCTGTTCACTTCCCTACATGTATTTAAAACCAGCCATATTCTGAGTGCTGAAAGGGGAAATTTGGGGCTGCAGGCACACCAAGACATGCCAAGGATTTGCAAGTAAAAGAAATATTCTCAGTTGTATAAGAGTAGGTGATGTGCTGAGGATTGTCAGGATTTTTTAAGGGAATGTTAGAAAAAAGTATTTATCTGGGCATTAAGTTTTCTGGGAGCTGGATTGGGAGGTTATAAATAATGGTAAGTGTTAAAGGCCAGCTTGGTTCTGTCTCTGCTAAGAAAACACCTGTAAAAATACATTTGAACTAGTTCTGGGACTGGTTTTAAGCTGCTAAAGCCTCCACCAGTGATGAGGAGAACACCTTGGAGGCTTGGTAGGGCAAAGCCTGTGCAGATCCTCCTGTCTCATTTTATATCTCACTAGAGCTCCTTGTGTGACCTTCCAGGTGTCCTCCTTGTGCAGTCAAGGCCAGCCTCTCACTGTAGACAACTCCAAAAATAAACCCAGGGTTACTGTGCCCCTTCCTCCCCACCCCTGGGCCTGTCCTAGCAATGGAATCATGGCTGGGGAGAGTCAGTCCTGGAGTGTTCACCAGCACAGAGAGGCTTTGTGCTACGTGCTGGACCAAAAAAATGAAAATATTTCCTTTCCTTCATCATACCCTGGTCATACCAAGTGTCTGTGTGTGAAACAGCCCTTGGAATCAGTCAGTTAATATTAATATCCATCAGCATTTCATCCTGGTGAGGGTGTAAAACACTGGCTTAGAACAAGGAATGAGAGCTCCTGGAGCCAGCCCAATGGTTTCTTAAGGCAGATTTTTCCCTGTGGTACATGGGGTATAAAATTATCGTGGTGTTGATGGAGCTGGAAGTTGCTCAGAGCAGCCTTGAGGGGCCTGGAGATCCCTTGGAAAAGCAGCAAAGTAAATGGCAAGCCACATATTGTAAAGTAACAAGAAGAATTTTTATTATTGGGGGTTTTTTTTTTCCCTTTTGTATTTTTCTTACCATTTTGATCAGATGTACATTGTTTATAACCCCTCGTTTACCAGCCCCAAATATCATTACAACGTCTGCACCATGATCTATGTTTGGTTGTTACCCTTTTAATGGATAAAAAAAGATTTAAGTACTTCATTCTGTTGCATTTTGACAGCTGTTAGCCATCATTTTTCCATTCACCTGCATTTAGCAATCCCATAAAGGGAGGCAATCTCAGAACTAACAAGAGCTGGGCACTGCAAGGTGATAATTCTGTATCACTTTGGCCTATAAATACCTGCCAGGCTTCTGGCTGAGTCAGCAGTCTGTAACAAAGTGGCAGCCGTGCCCTTTTATCTGTGTGAGTGTTTCACAGCAATTGGACTATCAGCCCCTGCAGTGAAAATCCATAGTATCGATCAGGCTATTTCTCCACTGTAATTCTTTTGTAGGAAATCCCTGATGACAAATTTTATCTGCACCACTTTTTGATTGCTGGTTTGATGTAAGCGATCTCCAAGGGCAGAGTTAAGCTCCTGGCCGTTCCACATTATCAAGCACCAGCTTTATTTACTGAAACTACACTTGTGGTCACCAACCAAAATAAAAAAAAAAAAAAAAATAAAAATAAAGGAGAGAGAGGGAAAGAAGGAGGTGGAGGAGGCTGAAAATTAAGAGCAAAATAATATTTTAAAGTGCAGGAGCGAGGGGGTGAAGTCACTTGTATGGGCTGCTGGGTTGGTAAGTAAAAGCATGTCCTGCATTAATAAGTGCACAACCAGGAGAAATCTGTTTAGATAAAAATATCCGTGGGGCACAGGGCTGTGTCTGGCCAGTGGAGCTGATCCTGCAAGCTCGTGTCCATGGGAATGGTCCCAGAGTTCCTGCCCAGAGCTCACTGTGCTCATCAGAGGGCAGGGTGTCATTTCATCCCATTCCCAAAGTGATTTTATTCCTCCGGAGCTGGTGCCCAGGGCAGGCTGAGCAAACACAGGGTTTGCTGTTGTTTGCTGTGGTCTGGGCAGTTCTGCTCACACACGTGCTCAGAGAAGGCACCAATGCACAGCTCCAGGCACAAACCTCTGGCTGAAATCTGGTCACTACACAAACTCGGATTCCTGGTACCACCCCCTGGATTGGTTGATGCTCTTTAACCTCCAAATTTAACTCGGAAACCCTGCCAAAGGAAGCTCGCAGTCCTCCAGTGTCCCTCAGCTGAGTGAGGGGGGAAGCCTCAGACATCACAGAACACAGAAATTCCATTGCTGGGAATTCAACATTTACTCCAGCTCTGACTTCAGTGTGGGCTATTGTCTCAGCAGAGTTATTACAGATTATCCCTTGGACAGCCAAGTTTCTAATTTCTGCATTGCTGCTGAATGAAGCCTTAATTCCTGAGCCCCTGGGGAGGTTTTCTCATGGCAGTCAGTGCTGTAGCACATCGGGGTTACTCACTATGACTCTGCAGAGATGTTTTCTTTTGCTGAACTAATGCAGCATGAAGCAGGGAAATGATGTCTTGTGTTTTCCTGCAAAGCCCTGAGTCACTGGCGTGTCCCAAACACGGCACGTGCAGACCAGGATTACTTAGGAAAACAGTTTAGCTCTGGTTTGGGGTTTTTTTTTCACCCAAGGCATGTAAAGCACAAAACTAAAAATAGCTTGCATAGCAATGAGATCTCCATCAAGGAAATATCTGTTTGTACTGCTGGGCTCCAGCCTCTGACTGTGTCACTCTGCTAAAATTCAGCTGCCTAGGAAATATATATCTTTGGCTGGAAACATATATCCAGAGGTGTGTGTTTACTGAGCAGCAGATATTGGATTAGGCATGGAGCCAGTCCAATTTCATGACTACACCTTTGAAAAATTGTCTGATTAACACTGAGAGGAATAATTGTATGTGAAAGGAATAGTAAACATTCCCCCCTAGAATGGGTTTTCAGCAAATAATGTGAAATACCTTGTCCATTCAGAGCCCTATCCCAATGAAAGCACTTTCATCATTTAATCATTAAGCAATAGCTCAGATTAAATAAATTAATAGCGAGTAAGGATTGAGAATAATTTGGATTATTTGGGAGAAACTATTTGGGCTTTTTATACGGTTGAGCACATTCCAAGGCTGAGCAAGTTCAAAGGTGGCAAATATGATTCATAAAAGTGGAATCATAAAACCCAAAGAGAAGACAATAAGGTTTCCAGGGGGAGTTGAATGAATTTAAAAATCAATGAAATCCTTTAGGTGAGTTTTATGCACTGAATATCTCTACCCCAGATTTTTGATACGATTTAGTGAACCAAATTCAAAGCATGCAGTTTAGCCTAAAGTCTGTTGTTATTATTGGAGAATTACCATAAATCCCAAACCAATCGTGGGGATCAGTCTCAGATTGGAGTGGATGGTCCTGGAGGCCTTTTCCAACCTCAGTGATTCTGGGATTCTGTGTTAGGGCCTTACATGCCAACTTTGAGGCACCAATACCTGAAAAAAAAAAAACAAAACAAAACAAAACCCAAAAACAACCAGGTGACACAGATTGTTTATAAATTATTTGGATTTATTTTACATTTTATCTTTGCATTTACTCACAGAATTCACTCCTGATGGAAAGCACTGACTGGACACCAACAGAATCTCGTTTGTGGGTGATCTATGGGGAGATGCTCACTCTGAGCTGCACTAAGACCACCAAGCCATGTCACTAAAAGCACTGAGCAGCCCTCAGGTAAAAATGACTTCCAATTATTCCTAATCTGGGCTACACTGGAACCAGTGACCTTGCAAGAGTCTGGATCCCATTAACAGCTCCCTGAGCCAGCCAGTCCCAGGGTGTTTGATTGTTCTCAAAGCAACCAAAGAGCTTGCCTTCAGTCTCCTTTATTTATTTCTTTTTTTTTTTTAACTGCTTAAAATTAGGGGTGGGGAGGTATTGAAATACTCAATTTGCAGTTTCCCTGTATCTCTAATACCACGTCTGGAGGAGCAGCTTTCATTTGCACTGGGAATACCTCCTGCTGAAATGAAATTCTCTTTTCTCAGTCCTTGATGCCTTGTCTGTCACTGATGAATTTTGCACACCTAGATCTCCACAATCAGTGAAAGCTGCCCTGATTCTGCCTGGCAGGACATTGCAGCGTGGTCCCAGAGTCTCATGATGATTCCTGGGCTATCCTCAGTGTTATGGGAGTGAACCAGACAAGAAATGAGCCATGAGATGCTAATTTCTATCTGCAGAATACCTCTCATTAAATTTTCTATATCCATTATATCTTTTAATTACTATTTTTAATCTATTCTCAGAAAAAAAAGAACTTAAATACTCGGTATTTTCAGCAGGGCAAGCTCCATGTTGGTCTGTTTGATACCAGCACTGATGTATCTTGTACCAAGAGTGGCCAAAAGCTGAACTGGGTGATCTTGGAGATCTTTCCCAAAGCTGAATGATTGAGTGACTCTCTGAAGAACTGGCAGGGAAGGAGAGGATGGGGTTGGGCTGCAGGTTCCCCTCTTGGTGTGATTTGTGTGTTCTCAAGAGGTGCCTTGCTCGTGGGAGCAGAAAGGACAACAAAACCTTTGTACCTGAATACTAAAAATCATCCCCTGTGCAGCATCCCCCCAGCTGTAGGGCGGCCAGTCCCTTTGCACGTTTTCAGACTAAAATGTGGATTCTGCTGCACCTTTGTGACACCTCCTGGGAGCAAAAGGTGTCAGCTCAGGGTGCCTTGTGACCCACCACCTGCCTGCCTCACCTCTGCATTCGACAGAGAGAGCTGGAAAATTTCACTCCACTTTCTTCTCCAAATTTCTGGTGCTTTGGGGCAAATTCAGCGTTTTCATTAACATTTCAGATAAGTCTGGAAGGAGCACAGACATTAATGCAGATTACAGGCCAGAAATGCTAAGCAGCAGCAGCTTCCTTTGATCTGCTGAGATATGTCAGTGGTAAATATTTCTGCAGCCCTGAAAATCAGCAGCATGGAGCCCTTGTCCAGATAAAGGGGAATTCAGCCCTGCTGGGGGTTCCTGCTGTCCTGCAGTGCCTCCCCAGCCCCGTTTTTTGGGGCTGATCCAAGTGAACCCCCCTTTTTGGCAGGTTTAGCAGATATCACCCCACAATATCACCCCAAATCTCAGTGTGAGAGCAGATCCCCTTTGAGGGACTCGTTTCAGGGCATGTTTGCATCTTGAGCTGCCACGTTCTCCTCCACAAAATGCACCAGCAGCACAGTAAAGGCATTTTCCAGAGGAGGGAATCAATCCTGGATCCCCCATTTCCACCTGAGTGCTCCCACCCTGCAATCTGAGTGGCCATTGATGCTGTTCTTCAAATTTAAAAGAAAGAGCTTGAGCCCTTCTGCCCTATACCAGAAGTGGTTCCTGAGCAGGAAAGGACAGGAATATTATCCCTACATGCAGGATTTATCCTATTTCTTTCTTCATTTCCTAGACTTAGGTTTCTGCTTTTCCACTGTGGTTTTGGCCCTGTTCTCAGGACTCTGGTTCACCCCATATCCTTTATAGAATGTTTAAATGCCTGGCCAATATATGATTTTACTAGAATTGTCTCAATTTAGGCTTCAAAATTGAATCCTTCCTTTACAAGAGCCTTGAGATTAACAATGTTCAGTGGTGGGCTCAATAGATGGGGAATTATTCAGCTGGAATTTACAGCTGAGAGGCTGCTCATGTGCAGGTCTCTGATTTACCCTGAAAAGTGAAACAAGTGCATTAAAAATAGTATTTGTGTAGATGTTTCCTTCCTGATGGTGTTTCCTGTAGAGAGAAAATGATTCCTTTGGGCACAAGGGCATTTACCTGGGACAAAGCAAAACTGTGGGAATGTATCTCCCAAGGAATTGAATCAATGAGTTGGTGAAGTTTTTCCCTTTAAAACCCTGATGATATTAATTAGAATTGTAAACTGCATGTCTGGTTTCATCAGACCTGTCTCCCACCATCAAACAAACACAGCCTAATGTCAAATTATTGAAGTCTCCCAGCTGCTGGAAATTCCCCTTCCCAGCTCCGAGTGTTTTTCCTCTACCACAAAATAACAAGCGAGTCCCATGTGTTTGTACCAGCCCTGCAAGTGCTGTCTGTAAAAGTCATGTCATAACCTCAATCAATCACTCAGCACTGGCCAACACTCGGGTAGATGATCCAGAAATCCTCCTGACTGGGATTATTCTGCAGGAAATAACACAGTGCTGCCTGACAGCAGCAGCAAAATACTTCAGAAAGAGGCCAAACAACCAGAGTTGCCCAAGTAGTTCCTTCCTGTATCTTCTGGGGCTGCATCTATTCCAAAGTGTGCCACAAAGTGCCAGCTGGAAGCTGGGTGGGACAGTGGCACTTGGAGAATTTAATCATTTTTTTCCTTGCTCATGAAAACATATTAAATTTCCTAGATTGGAACATATTTCACCAATTAATTAATCTGGTATGGAATAACAAAATGCCACTGACCACTTAGAGCCATGGAGAACACAGCCTGTAGATCCTAAGCTTTCTTAGACAGGATATTCAAAATTTATGTATCTGCCAGTCAACATATAACAAAATGCAGAAACATGCTTGTAAAAAGAAATGTGATATTTACTGCTCAGCCATGTAATATCTTCTACTTATACATGTCCCTTGAGGATATCTCGATGTTATTGGAAGAGTAGTTTCCTTAGACATGCTCCTTTTTCCTCTTTTCTAGTTCTCCTCTTCCTTTTTGCTATTTTTTCTTCTTTTTTTTTTTTTAATTTTCTAATTCTCTTTGGAAACTCCAATCCTTATATTGCCATACTAGAAATTAGTAGGGTTTGAGACTTAATAGTGGGTTTATTTAAATTAATTTGTGCTATAAAGCTGAAGAGCAGTTTAGAGCATGTAAGTTTAAGACCATGGAGGGTTTAGACTTGAGTTATTTGAGGCAGTGTGAGCACAGCCTCCATGGACATCCACCAGCACTAAATCAACACAAGGAAAGGCAGAACTGGGGCCTCTCAATGTTTTCCTGCTGATTTCAGCCAGTAGTGCTCTGGCTGTGTTTTCCAAGCAAACTTTGGGACCCACAGACCCCTTGCCAGCAGGTAAATGGTCAAAGGAGAGGTCAGGCAGCTGTGTCCAAACTGGAATACAGCTCTGGATTTAAAATCCTCCCAAGGTGTCTCTGTTATCCCAGTGTCCATCAGTCTGTCTGTACATGCACCCTCTCCCACTGCAGTGCTGAAAGGAGGCCAGTTTCAGCTCTTTGAGGAGCCAGCAGGGTGTTTTGTCACACTCAGTGAAACTAAAATCATTTCATGCTGCCTGTTGGTGAAAGAACAGAGAATACACCCTGCTGCACGCTGTAACTTCAGGTCTCCTTGCTTTTATCACTTTCCTTGCTTTTATGATGTGTGCAGTGAAAAAAAAAAAAAATCTCTTGTGAATGGAAGTTGAAGTTTGCCTGTGAGCGTTCTGAAATGTGGAGAGGCAGCACGGGCCCCTCTGCTGCACCTAAAAGGTGCTGCCTATGTGCTCACCAGCCTTCCCCTGAACCCAGTCTCCATCCCAATTCATCCAAGAAATTTGGGGAAATCCCCGTGATGGGCCAAGGAGGAAGCTGTGGATCCACTCCTGAAGCTCCATGGCTCTGTGCAATCAGCCTGGAGGAGATGTATCTGCTCCTGCAGCATCCACAGAGGGCTCCACCGTATGCCAGATTTGTTCCATGAATTTCTCTCCTCTCATTGCCTTAAGCACAATTACAAATACATTATGCAGTGTGAATTTTCACCCTTTTTTAGCATTCAGCGGTGCTGCGAACCACCAGCCTTTCCCCTCAATGTACTGGCTTGAAATTAGAGCATTCCCCAAATATCCTGCAGCCTGTGCCATCCTGCCATGACCCACGGAGGGGACACCACCACCAAATGCTTCCTGTGGTGGGATTTATTCAATCACATCCATGAGATCTCCTGCCCTGAGCTCTCAGAGGGGTCAGGGCTGCCACGGCTCCCAGGGCACTGCCAGAGCTCCTGATTTCCAGCTGGGGGAACGCTGTGATGGACAAAACACAACAAACCAGCTCCATTTATCCACGGGAATGCTTCTCCCTCCTCCTGGAGGGGCTCAGGCTTCTCCTTGCACCACATTTTTAATGTGGATTTTTGGTAGAAAAGCCCTGCCCAGAGCCACGCAGAGCAGGCCAGGCTGCATTGGCCTCTGAGACTGGGACAGAATTCATCAGAAATTTATCAAAACTTGAGGACTGAGAAGCCATGATGAATTTTGACAGCGTCCCTCTTCTCTCTCCTCCCAGAGGGGCTGAGGCTGCTGCTTGCAGTGCATCTTTAATGTGGATTTTTGGTAGAAAGGCCCTGCCCAGCGCCACACAGAGCAGGCCGGGCCACATCAGCCTCTGCTGCCCGGGACAGAATTTGTCAGAAATTTATCAAAACTCGAGCTGTGCATTGAGAGGCTGTGATCAATTCTGACAGCGTCCTGCTCTGCTCAATATTCTCTCTGAAGTGCCTGGAACCAAATGCCAGTGCAGAGCATTTCTCTGAAGTTCAAGAGGGGAGATGTAAACACAGGCCGTAAAAGACCTGCATGTCTCCAGCTTGTAGGGGTCGTAATTCTTCCCAGCAAAGTTACCTTTCCTGTTTCTATGAATTACTCTTACATTCTTGTAAGAGATACGGTTTGAGGTATTTATGGTGCATTCAATTCTGCTATCATTGATTTACTGGA